ACCATCAATAACTTATATACTTGATTTACTTGTAATTAAAGTTAAATAAAGAAAAAATCATTTATTTTAATAAATTTCTCCGATAATATTTTCTTGCTCTTTTTTCTTACCTAAAAAAGTTAACTTCAATATGCCTACACTTCTACAAATATTACACCTTGTCTTGGACATCTCTTCTCTACTATTGTCCTATTTTTTTCCTTATCCCAAAAATATACTCCAATATATCTATATTTCTTAAAAAATAGACATTGCATAATTCTATAATGTTGTTTGTGATTTTGATTATTTTATCCGTAATCTATTTATTCAAAATTAGATTTATCACAACCTCTTCTATGACCTCAGTTCACTACCTCTATTTTTTTTATCATGTTCTTTATTAAAAGTGATTTTATCATTTTTCTCATCTTCAAAATTTCAATTTTAGTCTCAGATATTATCTCAAGAGATTTTTCTTTGTATTTATTCATTTTCAGTAAAATTAGAAAAATATTTAAGGTACTAAATAGCAGCATTAAAATGAAAAAAATAGATTGAAGGATTTGAAGCAATTTTTCAACAATTTCCTTTTGTGATCTGAAATCTTCTCATTTTAACAAAAATAAATGAAATGCTAGAAAACAAATGTCAAAACTTTAAAAATTTATGGAGAGTTAGAAGTTTTATGGTTGTAACTCTATTATCTCCATGAAATTAATGTTTAAAACTTTTTATACTTTTGAAGAACTTGTGGATATTTTATAACCTTGTGTAAGTCTAAATTTTACATTTTCTGCATTGAATCAGCTCACAAATATAAGTGTATGAGTAATCATTAGAGTTTTTTTCAAATGAGTAGTATAATGAAATAAATTTCAAAGACACCTATCAAGCCATTAGTTTATTATTGATTTTACAAAATTACTAAAGTAGGATTTTTACTCAAGGAAAAATAGTACAAAAGTTTGACCCATCTAACTAAAATGATTTTATCTGAGAAAATGTCATAGATATGAGCATATATATGATCCATGGAAAGTGGATCCAAAGTAAAACCACTAATCAAATTCAAAGTATTAAAAACTATCAATCTTTATGAGCATTTTTTTATATTTTCAAGAATGCACGTGTGACTTATTAAGGCCACTTAAGTCTAGCTATTTCACTTGATAAGGGCCAAAGGGGGACTGTCCAACCTGTCTTATAAAAGGGATTTTTTTTAAAAAAATACAATGAAGAAAATACATGACGTTCAAATGGTGGCAACTACTTCAAAGGGTGATCATCTTCTCCATCACCATCTCTCAAGTCTTGAAAAGCCAAGGGGAAAGTTTGATCATTTCAAGTGAGTTTTTGTTGCCATTCAAAGTCTTAAGGACTTTCTCCCTAAGCCCAACACTTTTCTCAAGTCCTTCATCAACTCTCAATGTACCAAAAAGGCATTTGAAGGATGCAGCTACATTGTTCTAGATTATTCATTTGTTTATTTGCATATGTAATGTGTAGATTGGTTGAGACCCCTCTAGTGTGTTTTCAACAAAGTCATATAAGTCATTGTGACGCCTATTGATGTCCTTCATTTTTATAGTTTCAGATAAACTTTTATCAGTAATTGATTATTTAATATGATATTTATTTACATATGTCATGTATACGATTCAACATAGTTTATACATGAATTATCTTTGTATATTTTATGATCCTCATACTAAATATCAAATCAAACTTATTAATACTTAAAATTAAGTGATTCTTAGCCTATAAATACTTAGGTATAAAAAAATATTAGCTGAAGAAATATTTTAAAATCAAAAGGAAAATATATATTTAAGTGGGTATAAATGAAAATAAATCATGTGAGATATCCTATATTTGATTAAATATTTATCTCACCATATTATGTAGCACTTAGTATTTTGAAATAATTTTAGAAAAAATTCTCAAGGTATTAAATGGATTTCACTCAACAGGATAATGAAAAAAAAAATGAGATACTCAAGCTTTGAAGAGAACATTTCATCGATGACACATCATCTACTTATGTGGATAAAAAGAGAAATTTAACTTCATGATGTAGATCCAAAGTGCACATCCAATTGTTCTTCATCAAGTTAGAAGATTTTAATTCAAATTTCAACAAAAATAATGATGCTCTTCCTACTGCACACATCAACAACATGTAAAAATTGTGCATCATCTTCATTAATTGATTTTGGCAAATGATTACTCTACTAATATGTCTCTTCCTCTGTTTTTGACAAGAAGTAGGATTAACCCATGAAGTCATCATGCACCTAGATTTTAACATCAAAATCAAGCTCTCTTAAACACTAATCAAGTCCAATCTCAATTTCCTCACTGTGAGAAGATTAAAACCATATCAAGTTTCAGTAATCACAGTTATGATAAGAGGATAAAATCAATTGCAATGTAATTAGAATACTCAAATGGAAGAAAAAAATCACTAAATTTATTTGATTAGTCTATATTATAATTCAATAGGTATCATTTTGTAGGTTTGTGAATTCTATTAAACACATCAGTTTGATTGAAATTTTATAGCGGACCAGGCTTCGAAAGCTTACAGAAGATCGTAGACGGACCAGAAGATGCTTTTACTTTTCTTCAAATAAACGTAATAAGTTTAAGAATAATATCCCACCCCTCTCAGATGGAATAGCGGCCCGCTGTGCGCTGCACCGGATGCGGTACCTCTCCCTACCATTTGTTGTCAGTATATGGCAACATCTCTAACTGCAGATATACAACTGGATCAACGGCTTAGACCCGTGCTGGACTCCAAGGAGACTATGACTGAGTGCGCTTTGGTGTCCCTGGCTCTGCTTTGGTGCACGGTACATGGCTTATTTTACCTTTCAAGACTTGAATTTCCAGAAAACATGAATTTCCATGACAAGCTTCATACTTATATCATAAAACTCGAATTTCCAAAATTCACATTTTCCTATGGCTATATATGGCTCTTTAGGAGATGTATGTGGGTAGGTGACTAAGATTTCCTTCAACGTACTCATTTTTCTATTTTATTTTTTCCCTTGGTCATCATATCAGGTTTCACATTATGACCTAGGTATTTTGAAGTTTCTTTCGGATCTCACATGAGCTCGCGCAATCCAAGTTTTTCGTGCAGCCGGAATTAATACAAAGTTCGTAAGTGATACTTCATTAAATGTTGTCCGTCTCCTTATTTGACGATTATGGAAGACCCATTTTGGTTTACTCGTAACTCGTGAAGAAAATCCACAATGCTCTCCGATAGTCTTGTCGCAACGAAACAAGCTATTTTTTATTACTTTGTTCGCTGGCAACATTGTCACATGATTTTCCCTTTCGTGCTTAATTTCTGAGACATGATTTCCCTCGACGCTATCAATAGCCCGGAGGGGGCGGGGATCTTCTGTAAGCGGGAATCGGTGGCGAACACAGCGCCACCTGCGGCGGACTTCGAGGCGGTGGTGGAGCCCGAGATGATAGCGGAGGCCTGCGGCTGAAAGCCGGCGGTCTGTTCTGATTGACAATCGGTCTTGATATTGGAGGTGGCGGCGATCTCAGCGGTCGACGCCGACGCTGCTTGTCAGACAGCCACCAATCCGCAGGCGAAAACTCGGCTCCTTCCCTCCTCAATCTCGCCTCCGCTAGTGCTGAGCGCACCATCTCATAGGTCGCATGCTGGGGCCAGGCTGTGGAGACCGATGCCGCCGGAGAAGCCAGGAGGACGCAGAGGAGAGCGAGGAGGATGAATGTGTCGCACCGCATCGCCGGCAGATCCATGGCGGACAGAGGAACACGAAGGTGGACGGGTGAAGAAGTGCCGTTGGCATTGACTGATGAGTCGGCGTGAGTCATATTGTCGGCGAGAGCCACGTAGTCGCTGGAACGTCGTTGTCGACGGTGGAAATCACATCCATTTTTCTCTATAATAATCTATAGAAAATATTAACTCGAATAGAAATATATGATCGAACTATGCTGTTGCACTCGTCGTAATATTAATGATATCTTTTCCAATTAAGAAATCAAAGTGATTATAATGTAAGGCGGATTACTTGTAGGAAATAGTTGACTCTTTTGGAGGGAAGCGTGATAAGATAAAGTAGAGCCCTGACTGATTCTAATCTCCACCATAAAAAAAATTAATCTGGGTCGAGCCTGAGGAAATAATGAAAACTTGGTTGATTAGTCAAGCGATGGATATTTGACTCCTGGGAGAGTCAACACGGTGAAGTGGACCCTAAGATGGGGTTCACTTAACTTTCTAAAGATGTCTATGATTTGTCTACATCCAAAAAAAAATTTCAATCAAAATCTGTCTATAATAACCTTTATCACCATATTGGGTTTTCAATAATGCAAAGAACGGGAAGCAAGGTCAAGGTAGACCTACCCATAAAGAGAGGACCCCTCAAGAGGTTGGCCTGAGAGAGCCCATGTCTTGGCGTCAGTAACTATGAGACTAACACCATACTCTCTCAATCGGTGCATTAATTTTCCCAAAATTATTGTTCGTCTCATGGTACTGTAGCCATATTGGCATGTGGTGAAATCCATCAAGTCAAAATGATGAAACTAGTTGGCTTCTCTTCTAAAATAAATCTCACCCTTGTTCATGCAAAGATGACCTTCCACCTTCAAGAAATCGTAAACCAAATACTCATCCATTTAAATATTCTTGGCCAAAAATAATTCATTCCAGTTTGAATGGCAGAAAAATGCGGCTGCTCTTTTGTAGCAGAAAAAAAAAAGGGTCGCAAGTTCATCTAAAGCCAGATTCATCAAGAGAGCCCAGAGAAATATGTCCCTGGTATTATTGAACGTAGGACTTTTTTGTATTACTTAAGCTTAATAAACAAGAACACGACAAAATTTTCTTTATACAGGAACTTCTAGACGAGCCTGAACCCTGGCCCGAGAGGGTAACCCAACCAATGAGAATCAAGATCGACGGTGATGCATAATTGGATTAACGTGTATGGGTTAAATAAAGCTAATAGATTCATTCAGAACATCTCATTGTACTGACTTTTATCTGCACCGTAAGTGGGTGAGGAGTCAGGAATGTCATACTGACTCCAGTCAAATACATCTTGATCTTCAGGGTCATCCACCTGCTGATCCCAGTCGTCTACTTCAAGCTCCTCTTTCTTATCACCAGACTTGCCACCCTCTTCCTCCTGAATCGTCAACAAAGATGGATAACCCAAATGAGACAGTGAGCACAGAGAAAGAAAGGACTTATGTTGGAATGGGAATCGAATACCTCGTTTTCAGCACCCGTGGCTTGTGATTCGGCCGCTGGGTCAGCAGCTGTATCAGCTGAATTCATAGATTCTTTCTCCTGGGCTTTCAGCCGTTCGATCACCAACTCAAACTGAGAATGATCTGAGAGGAAACCCAGAGATATGTATGAAAATTAAAATATTCCCTTCAACAGACCGTCCAGGAACAAGCAGTTTATAAGGTGGGATTTTGGTTTAATATAATCCAGCTACAACAGATCTTCATTACCGGGGTAATTCAGACCTCCAGCTCATTCTAAATTCAGCTTGAAGCCTATGAGTGAAGGAAACTGAGATACAAGTACTGTACCTTTGGAGCGATGGACTACAGCATCTGCTATCTGCAAGGGATGTTTGCGCTCTTCATTCTTAAACTTCAGTTTGATCTGATGACGAGTCCGATTGGGAAGCAATTGTTGAATCATTGCAAAATCTGTTCCAAACTGACGAACAGCCTAGAAAAATTTGAACTCAGGATCAGGATATATGGTTTCAGAGGACAATAATTTGCCGGCAAAACGGTGCAGGTTACCTGGTAGAACAGCTCAGTCTCCATTTTGGACCATCTTTCCGATCTGGGCTTGTTCATGTAGGTGTGGTAATTTAATTTTGTGGAGCTGATTTGAACCGGCTGATCAGCATCGTCCCCACCACGATTCATGTCATTGGCAAAACTGGAATAATTACACAAAAAAACGAATCTGTCATTGCATGAATGACGGGGCACCCAGTAAGATCCGCACAAGTATTCTAGTATTTTTGATATTAGAAAAAGGAATAAGATTCATCTCTCTCAAGCTGGCTGCCTTATAAAAAATGGGAACAAGAACGCAAAACTGGGCTGGTCCCAGCAAGTTCCAACTATGTACAGCCAGTTCTTATCCAGAACGGTTAGCTTCCTAACCATGATTGAAGTAGAAAGATGAGCGTTGACTAATTTATAGACATGAAGGTAGTGTTAGAAGTCTTGAGCCACAGATGTAATCGAAAGATAAAGACACTCTTTGGGTATTTCCTTTTAACCGCTCTGACAATATACCTTAAGAGAAGAAACAAAGATGGCATAGGTCAAATGATCATCTAATCCTAGGTAATCTGTCGTCATTGACTAACCAAAACTTCCCATCGATTATCATCGATAAATATCCCTAAAAGAAAAAAAAATGAGAACGTAAATTTGCATTGTATGTTTAGTGCAAAATTTCTCGTACGTAACGAAGAAAACTGCAATTTTCGATCTTAACTAAATATCCCACATTTCTTTTCTTTAAGTAAATAACTTCAATACCTTTGATCTTGACCAGGTTGCCCAGTTTTCGCTGCTTCTTTAATCTGGATCGAATGCACAGGTAACCAAAAAAGAAAAAAAAATGTTACATAGCAGCTTATGGTCCCTTTAGGTTGAGAAATGAAGAAAAAAAATGTCAACTGCAGCAATCAATTTGAAAAATATAAAGAGATTAAACATACACATATTCGTTCTCTGGCTTCAGCAAGCATGATCAGATCCTTTATCTTCAGTTTCATCGGGTTAATATCCTCGTCAGGTGTTTCTAACAGAACTTTGTCCACTGCAGATAGAAAAGAGAATATACACTTTGAGGCAGCAGGATAAATACATATTCCAGCAGCAAGCCATAAAGAGAGGGAAGTCAACTTAAAGAAAAGACGGGATAATGGGCACCATACTAGAGACAAACTCAAACGCAATTAGAACAACGATTGATATAGATTAGATACTAAAAACGTTTCATGTAGAATAATCCATCGAGCAGCCATCTTCTGCCTTCTGCCCACAAGTAGGAGGACAAAGGGACAAGAATTTCAAGTACCTTGCCTCCTGCTCCTCCTTGTCGAATGAGAAAATTTCTTTCTCTGAGAATTCTGTGTTGAGGAATCAGATTCAAAATGTGCATGTTTATCCATCTCAGGAAGCTTCTCTCTTTCATCCAGCACTGTTTTAGGCTTTCTGGGTGTCTTCTTTTCAAAGAGCCCACCTGCCATGTAGTCATCATCGCTCTCCTCTTCAACCGTTTCAAAATTATTTCGCTTCTTTCCACCAACACCCCACTGTTCCACATCCCCATCCCCATCCCCAAGATCATCAAGAGTGGTGCGCACAGAAGTCCGTTTCCTCAGCTGCCTGTAAGTTTGGCTCACATCAGCGTCATCAAATAAATCTGTCTCAGAGCCTCCTCCATCCAGAGTCTCCTGCAACTCTCCATCAACGGCTTGCCCTGATGGCTCTTGTTCCATGTCTTTCCTCTTCCGAATGCCTACTGTCTGCAACCACAAGATCACCAGACCAAGAAAGACAGTCAAAAGTTTAATAATTAGGAAGCTACAAGAGGAAAACAATTAACAGGATTATTGAGAGTACTTACATCTACCTCTGTCGTATCGTGAGCAGCATTCAATTCCCTGTAGTTGTAGAGGGATGAAGTTTCCACGGCAGGGGCATTCATGTCGCCTCCAAGCACATTGTCTGCTGGACTGTTGAGCGATGTTGAGGAATCAGGTGGAAAGGCCAGCAAGGGACTACTGAGGGACTCAGCTTCTGGAGGATGGACAGCTGAAGATGTAGGTGGCACCATGGAACCACAGGACACAGACGCAATGGATCTTTCCTTCTTCATCTTAGGCTTGGCCTTTGGCTGGAACTTGCCAACAACCCTAGCTTCTGCATCAATGAAATTTAAAATAAATGAACAAAGTTAAAAAAATTAATTCCTTTACGGAAGAACAAAACAAGAGATACCAGATCTTGACGTGGATTGCATGAAAATATCATCAGACAGCCCTGACTCTACCTGAAAACATGCAAAGACATGCCCAGAGTAGTAAAAGGTTTTAAGAAAAAAGCAGATAACCAGCAAATATTAACAAAAAATTGGAATAAGAAGCAAATATTACCACTCCTTGCAAGCCCTCATCATCAATTTGAAAGCCCACTCCATGAATAGGCAACATGGCTTCTGAATCTGCATTCAACAATAGATGTCTCATTCACCAGAAAGTGGGGAATTAGCTAATGGAAAGAGAGTGAGCTCTGCTATTTTCAGGAGAGGGAGGGAAATGGGGATCCATAGGAAGACAAGCAGTCCCGGGATTTTCCAACTTTCTAGTCATAAAATGGACTCAATGTACCCCTACGCCTTTCTATTCTCCAAATAAAGCATATTAATAAGTCTAGAGGGGGCAACCCAATGAAATCCATCTCCATAGACTAATACCCACCAGTGGCAGTGTCACGCTGGGAGAGAATTGTATCAAGAGATTCTAAGTCAAAATCTGAACTCATTGCCTGAAAAAAGAAAAAATAGTATGATTGTGTGTCAGCAGAAATATTAAAATATTCAAAAATGTGATGGCAAGTATGATAATGTGCAAGTATATCGGCTGATAACCCACTTCATGGCCTCCAAAATCTTCATTTCCAATCGGCTCTGGTGCATTGTTACTGTGCAGGGCACCAGTATCGCCATCAATACCCGAAGATGTAGTTGCCAATGTGTGGGGTTCTGTGAATAAATGAAAAATAATTTTCTATTCAGGAAAAAGGTCGGCTGGTGCAGAATCATAAGGAAATTCGAAATTTCACACAGAAAAAAGAATAAAGAAGAACTCAACTAGAACCAGGTTATTGAAAATAAAGCATAAAGGAAAAAACATCGGAATCTTCACCAACCGGAAGCTTCTGATGCCTGAAACAGACTATCAGTCGATGGTTCCAAGCCAGTCAAGTCCCTGGTTTCCTAGGAAAATAATGTAAAATATTTAATAAAAATATTCAAACGAGAAGAAAAAGGTACAGAATGCTGAATATTTACACTCTTTTATACTTATGGTTTTTGGATGGATTTTGTTGTGCCAATCAACCAATCTCACATTTAATAATGCTGCTAACTTCTCACCTTGATGGATTCAAATCACAGCCACAGATTTGACAAGTATTGAATAGAGCTTCAAATTCGTTGAATCTTTTTTTAATTCAAATTAAAGGGACAGAATTTTTTTAAAAATATTTCATCAATTTGAGGCACAAACTGACTCATCCAAGTTAACACGGACAACCCTCAGGATGTGCTTTACCTGTTCCATAGAAATTTCTTGATTACCCTGCAAACAAATATTGACATCAGAGTCCACTGCTTTTTGCCATAAAGGAGATCCAGGCGCCTCCACATAACCCTCAGCCAAATGGAGTTCTTTGGTGGCGTTCATGCTAGACGCTCTGTCACCATCTTGGAAGGGGTGATCGGAAGAAGGTGGCTGAACGACCTTGTCAGTCTTTTGCCGTGCTTTTGGCTGGAACTTCCCCAATGTATGCACTTCCCGTTGAAAACAAAGTCAGTATCTTACGTCTTATATGGCTACTCAGGGAAGCAAATAAGAAGAAAAGGAAACCATTGGAACACAATATTTGAAGGATAATAAGATGAAATATTTCTCTACCTGGAGCATGTGTAGGCTGAGGGAAAATATCATCGAAGAAATCAGAATCAAAAGACATGGTCCTGTGAAAACCACAATTCTCTGTCAAGAAATACTGTTAAACATGAAGAACAGTAATTTAGTTCGCACAAAAAAAAAAATAGAAGGAATGAATCACAAACTTATTGAGAAAATTAAAAACATGTTCCACAATAACCTTTGCGTGCCTGGACTGATGTGTGGTCACAGCCCCATAGTAGATTTCAATCAAGTCCTTGAAAAATTACCAAAATCCGACTACTTTCCAGTGTTGCCCACTGAGTTCAGAATTGTAAACAAAATGAAAGGTTATCCTGAGAAAAACCTCTGTCAATAAATCATATTTTCAAATCAAAGGGCTGATTGGCTCTATGTCCTTCTTAAATCTGCATTAACAAGCCTCTTACTTTATTTTCAAGTAATTTTATTCCATTAAAGGCTTCATAATGCTACCAATTTAGTTCATCAGGCAGACACCATTAGGAAACGGTGGCTAAGATGGTGACGACATTTTAGTCTAGAGATCAATGATCAGTGACCTGGGGAAGCCCGTAACAAAAATTGCGTTGATGGTTATCTATTATTATTTACACCGTAACAAAAATTAAAATTTGAATTCATTCATCAACTGACCTGGGGAAGCCCGGAGAAGGTGCCCTTTTCGGCGAATAAATCAGAACAATGAGAGAAGGCGGGTCCGCTCCACCTGCATATCGGATGGAGAGGGTGGGGATTTGAAAGAGAAGTGCTCAGGATGCTAAGTGGGAGGGGAGAGAGAGAGAGAGAAGCGTCGGGTGTTTGGGAGAGACACAGATAGGGATATGGCCTGAAGACGGAAGGGGCGGGGTGGAGGGAGGGATTATGCCATGTGAAGTTGTAGGGGGAGCGCCAGCGAGGGAGTGGGGAGCCAAGAGTGGGAGAGGGGGGGAAGACGCGTGTTCAACCGGGAGAGAAGAATGGGCGTTCGTCACCGGAGATAAGAGCAAAAACCGGGACGCTTGCCAGAGGTAGGGAGGGAAAAACCGGGACTTTCTCGCCGGAAGGGAGGAGAAAAACGAACGCTTGGACGGTGACGCCGGGTAAGGGACGAGTTCGCGACGGGACGGGAGAAAGATGCGCGGGTAGCGGACGAGGTAGATAGAACCCGCGCAGAAAGTAATTTGCGCTGGGCTGGGAGAGAGAGAGAGAGAGAGAGAGAGAGAGAGAGAGAGAGAGAGAGGGAGGGAGGGAGCCAAAGAGGAAAGCAAATTTGGGCTGGGCTTCTTTGTTAGAGAGAGAATGAGAGAGAGCACCCAGGTGGAGAGTAAATTTTCTCTGAATCTGAGCTTCTTGGCTGCAAAAGCTTGTGCCTTTTTCTGCCGGCCTCTATTTTGAGGCCCAAATACAATAATAGTTTCCATTGGGCCGTCGGTTGGCCTGCCAGCCCATTGGCACCAGCCACAAGTACCCTGCTTGTGAAAGGATTTTAGAGAGAGAGAGAGAGGGGGGGGGGAGAGAGAGACAGAAAAACAGAGAGGGACAGCGACAGAGACAGACAGAGAGACATTGAGAGATGCTGGCGAGCCAGACGCGGCCAGCTTTTACAGCGTCCAGACAAAAGCCTGAATAGAATTTACCTGCGACCCATATCCTAGGTGGGTATTTCCGTCATTTTCTCTTGTAGAGTCTCCCTTTCACCAGCTGTAATTACCATAGTTACCTCCGCTCAAGGGGGAAAAAAAAGGACAAGACCCGCGAAGGGCTTATTACGAATTGTTGCAGCTTACAAGGACCCAGAACTAATTATCCATTTAAAATCGAGATTATCTGTCACAGCTACTATCTATTAATTCTGATTTAAATTCATAGTTGACGTGAAAGTGAGTAAAGTCAACGCTTAAACGTGACCACTCCCAAAAAGAGAGGATGCACCTCACACACGTAACGATCACCTACAATGGTTGGGCTAAAAGTCAAACGGTAAGTGAGAGAAGGGAGGAGAGGAATAGGTTAGCACTTGTAGTGCAATTTGGGGCGATTATGAGCGGAGATTGGGGCGGGCCTAGTTATATACCTTTAGGCCCATTTTCCATAATGGGCCGAAAATAATTGGATTTCGAGTAGATGGGAAAAGCTTGTCGTTCACCACGTGGAAGTCGGCAGATGCTTAACAAATATCTGCGGTCAAGACCACGTTTTTGTGGAGACTACTTTCAATTCTCATTCAGCCCCCGTAGGAAAGTATTTCTTAAAAATATATCCCTAAAAGTAGTATATATATGTACTTAATCTTTAATTGTATTTTTACCCCCTATGTCATGAAAGTTTGGAAACCTGGTTCTGAGGCGACGCAAAGGTTTTCTGAATTTAGGGGCTAAAAACGCATATTCTGAAGGATATCCTCAGCCGTCCGATCCCCGATTGGCACATGTGAGCCTCTTATCTGATGCTAGATGCTCGACACGTGTCACATGCAGATGGTAATTATCCGTCCGACGCACATGGGACCTTGATACGTGCGCCTTTGCACAAGCATTACGCCAGACTCGGAAGTAGAGAGAGAGGGAGAGAGGGAGAGAGAGAGAGAGAGAGAGAGAGAGAGAGAGAGAGAGAGAGAGAGAGAGAGAGAGAGAGAAGGAAGAGAGAGAGAGAGGATGGGTAGCCAGGTCTGGTTATTGCCTGATCCCGGCTTCTAGCGCTCCTCGGACGTGTTTCCCTTTCTTTCCCTGGATTTTAGGGGGAGGCGGGGGAGGGCCTCGCCGTCGGATAGGATTTGCCGGAGTGGGTAAGGATCGATCCGGGAGGAGGAGGTGTAGAATCTCCCGGTGGCCGGGACTTATGGGGGAGTTGTGAGCGGCGATGGAGCGAGGGGTGGATTCCGGGGGAGGCTGAAATCTGAGCTGAGAGATAGGGAAGAGTTGGTGTGGGGAATTCTTGGGATTGAGGCTTCCCTTACTCTGAGTCTGACGAGTAACTTGAAATCTTAGCTGAGAGATACGGAATATTGGTTGCCGTGGGTTGGCGAACGATCTGAATAGTGACTGGATATTTTGGTTTACATGCGAGGAAAATTTCACCATTAACCTTGGATTGTCTCCTCTCAAGTTCCCCGCAAATCTCGATATCCTAACTATCGTGGATCAGGGAGCTTTGTTTTTGTGATCTCAATCGTCGTACAGCTCGGTAGGAGGTTTATTGTTTTCTGAGCGAGTTGATTGGAATTAGTCTTCAAAAAGCCATGTCATATTCTAGGATAGGATGATCACGCCAGTACAGAGGCAAACAGACTCCGAGTGAGATCCACTGTTGTCCGGTCGACGTCATCAAGGTAGGGTACTTCGGTTTCTTTCCCTCTTTCTTACTTTCAGTCTTCTTACCGTATTTACTTGTATATTTTTCGCGGTTCTGTTGCTAGCAGCTGGTTTTTGCTGTACATCCAAGCTTGAAGGTTGATTTCATGTATGGTTCTCTGTCTGGCCGCTTCTGTTTCTGGAAATACTTTAGTTTCTTGAGGACGGAATGTCCAATCCAATGGTCTCGATGCCTGGGTATGATGATGCTATGTTTGGCTTGTCGTTCATTGGTTCTTCTTTTTTCGTTTATTTGAACCAATAATTGGATTTTTATATAATCCCTATTAAGAATATGTATCACGCTAGCTAAGGGCATGGATCATTCATATAATTGTTGGTCTGTTTGGATGCTTCGTGTTGATTTCCTTCTTTAGAAGGCGAGGAAACCAGATCAATGACGCAGACGTCTCCGCACATCATGAACTCCCATGGGTGATGAACAGGGGCCTTGTTTTGGGAGGAATCTGGAAGAAATTTCTGGTTATCTATAATTTCGCCAGCATAATACGAAAGAATTTTGTGCTTTCACTGTGGGGAATTGATTAATCATGGGTGTTCGCTCGTCTGCAGAACCATGGCTACGTTGGTCGATCCTCCAAATGGCATTGGGATCCAGGGCAAGCACTACTATGCAATGTGGCAAACCCTGTTTGAGATTGACACCAAGTATGTGCCCATCAAGCCGATCGGTCGAGGGGCATATGGCATCGTGTGCTCCTCAGTGAACAGAGAAACGAACGAGAAAGTTGCGATCAAGAAGATCCATAATGTCTTTGATAATCGTGTGGACGCGCTCAGAACCCTGCGGGAGTTGAAGCTCCTCCGTCACCTTCGTCATGAGAATGTCATAGCGCTGAAGGATATCATGATGCCGGCCAGCAGGAGTTTCAAGGACGTCTACCTCGTATATGAGCTAATGGACACGGATCTGCATCAGATAATAAAGTCCTCCCAAGCCCTTTCCAATGATCACTGTCAATATTTCCTTTTCCAGGTAAGCGCGGCTTCTGCAGTGCCGGTCTTGATAACTTTCTCTGTAGAATCGTCACCGGTTGCCCATCAGAATCCAAGTTTTCCGGTGGAAGAAAATAGCGTCCATGAGCAATATAATATAACCTCTCATTAGTTTTCAGCAAGTAAAACATTTGGGAAATGCTAAGATTGTTTTGTAACCAAGAACCATTAATTTGTTCTTGCATTTTCTGTTTTCACAGTAAAAATCTCCTAAAGTTTCTAGTTTTATTTCCTTATGATTTATTTTATTTAAATAAATGGTCAGGGTCTTGTGCTCAAGGTAACTGTTGTGGATTGTTAGGATTTCGGGTTCAAACCTTCCCACTGAATTAATCTTGCCTGCGCTGAGCAGAGCGGAATCTGTTCAAACGCATCATTCAATTTTTTTTGTCTGAATGGGCATCCATCTTACAATACCAATGTTGGAGATTTTCACAAGACTTTGAGCAGACTCTGCTGATAATGTGGATTCAACCTATAATGGCAGCTTTAGGAGGCATGAACGAAAGATCATGAAACTCAATACTAACTCGGATTGTTCTTCAATCAACGGCTGTTATTTTCCCGTTTTTAATTTCTAACTTCCTGTTATTTATTTACTTATGTTTGGTTTTACTGATGCTGGAACTGAATCATTTGAGAATAACAAACTCTGTTCTTGATCGCGCGAAGCTGCTCCGAGCGCTCAAGTATCTGCACTCGGCGAACATCCTCCACAGAGACCTGAAGCCCGGGAACCTCCTGGTCAACGCCAACTGCGAGCTCAAGATCTGCGACTTCGGCCTGGCCCGCACCAGCAACGCCAAGGGCCAGCTGATGACCGAGTATGTCGTCACCCGCTGGTACCGGGCCCCGGAGCTGCTCCTCTGCTGCGACTACTACGGCACCTCGATCGACGTCTGGTCGGTCGGCTGCATCTTCGCCGAGCTGCTCGGCCGCAAGCCCATCTTCCCCGGCACCGACTGCCTGAACCAGCTGAAGCTCATCGTCAACATCCTCGGCACCATCAACGATGCGGACCTCGAGTTCATCGACAACCCCAAGGCCCGTAAGTACATCAAGTCCCTCCCCTACACCCCCGGGATCCCTTTCTCCACGCTCTACCCCCATGCAAACCCACTGGCCATCGACCTGCTCAAGAAGATGCTGGTATTTGACCCCTCCAAGAGGATCAGCGTCACCGAGGCCCTGCACCACCCCTACATGTCGCCGCTCTACGATCCCAACTCCAACCCCCCTGCCGAGGTCCCCATCGATCTCGACCTCGATGAAGACCTCGACGAGGAGTCGATCAGGGAGATGATGTGGAGAGAGATGCACTTCTACCATCCTGAAGTCGCCGCTGCTGCTCCTGCTGCTGCTGCTGCTGCTGCTGCTGTTGCTGTTGCTGCCCCGGTGGTGGCCTCGTAAGGATCGTCTAGTTCTTTCAAGTCCGTCTAGTTGCTTCGTGTGATTGAGATCCGCCCCCCCCCCTCCCTCCCTCCTTGGCCCGATCTCAGCTGTATATATGCGATATGTATGAGCGTTGTACCCTTTTCTTTGAACAATTTTGGTTGCCCGTTTGGTTTCATTATGAATGCCAAGGTTTCTGTGCTCTTGCGCTGCGCTCTGTAGAACGATCGAGGGATGGATCAAATTCATGGAATCATATTTCCTCTCACTATGATTGGTAGAGAGAGGTTGTTTTCTCTCTCTAACTTCATCATGTTGTGGCAAAAGTTTCAGTCTGTGCCCTCTTGGGGCGGAAAGAGGCGGGCACCGCGTGTCAGCCGGCGGCCGGCGGCTGGGGCACAGTGCCCGGCGTGAGGGGATAAAAGTGGCGGAGCGGCACGCGGCTGACGGTGAAAGTTGGTGGCGCTCACGCCACCATCGCCGCGGGCGGCGGAGCCCACCATTAAAGGAGGTGCGACGAGGAAGTGCACGGGCCACTCAAGGGGAGGCGCCGGGTGAGGGAAGGCATATGTGGGTCCGCATGGAGTCGCTTTCGGGAGATCTCTAGACGACCAAAACTCGGAATGAGACCCATAATATCAGATCCAACCGTTGACCAGAAAAATCGTGGCTTTCGGAATCACAGTTAAGGGTGCCAATGAGTGGACCCGTCAGGTTTGACCTAATCCATCTTCAATAATTTTCAGGGAAACGGAATATTATCTTCAAACATCAAGACCACGCCTAATTATGACGGCGGCTGGAATCCGGCTGGTCCCCAGCACCATCCGTGCCTACGCCAAGTCGAGTACTTTCCGCTAACTAGGACCTTGGTCCTACAATGCTTCACACGCGTGTAGTCCTTCACCAAACTTCCCACACGTGCGCTTTAGAGAGAGAGAAAGAGGAGCGGGGGGGGCTGTTGGATGGTAATAATAGCAGTATGACTTTCAGGTCGGACAGAGGAAAAACTCCGGTTTGTGAGAGAGAGAGAGTAGGGCTGAACAGAACGTATTTCCCTCTTAAGGCTGACATCGAGGTCAATCAGAAAAAGACCAGGCCAAGCCGGACTCTCTGCTTCAGCCAACTTATTTTTTATATCTATTTATTGGTATATATGATAAAATAGGCGGATAAGGAGATAGAGAAAAGGACAGAGAGGTGGAGAGAGAGAGTCTGGCCCACTTTCCGCCTTCGTGTTGGCTTTGAGATTTTCTTGGCGGAAAGCTCGGAACCTGATTCGTCACATCTCTCTCTCTCTCTCTCTCTCTCTCTCCCTCTCTTCTAGTGGGGCATCGAGATCTTGAACTGGACTTGGGATGGCCCGATCCAGCCCAGCCCATTTGCCTGCCTCGGTCGAAGGCCGGCAAAATAAATTTACACGAAAAAGTCGTAATCAAAGAAAGGTCCTGCAGACTTCATCGGAACGCAGAGAAGGCGCCTCTGCCCGCCAGCTGGAAAGTGTACTATTGTGGCGACCCGCACATCTCTCCACCACCACTTACCGCCGCCGTCAGCCGTCACTCAGCATCTCCCGAGCCATTTTCTCCGCCACGCATTCCCCCTGCCCATCTCTCTCTCTGTCTCTCTCTCGCTCTACCCTATCTATAAATTGCACCCTCCTCACCCCCACTGACTCCTCTTCTTCTCCTCTCTCCTTCCGTTCCTGTGCTTTGCATCACTTCTTCTGGTTCTCCGTCGGATACCCTCCGTATCAACCCCGTTGATGACTACACCCGATGTCTCCATCGGTCAGTGAGGTCCTCCTGTCTGGGTTAACGATAAACTCCACTCTCCGGCGCAGGACCCACCTCGTTCAGTCGTTCTCCGTCGTCTTCCTCTACTGGTTCTACGTCTTCTCATGATCAATCCCTTCGTCTCCGAGAACCTCCTCGCTTAATAACAGTCAACTCTCCTTTCCTTTTCTCGATAAATTAAAATCCATGGCTTCTCCCTTGGGGAGTGGTACCTCCTCGGCCTCCACCCAGCACGCCAACTCAGTGTCTGAAGGGGCTCTCCCACCGGCGGCAGAGCAAAGGAAGCGGAAGCGAATGTTGTCCAACAGGGAGTCGGCGAGGCGGTCCCGAATGCGCAAGCGGAAGCAACTCGGCGACCTGGCGGCGCAGGCGTTGCGTCTCGGTGAGGAGAACCTACAGATCCTCGCTAACCTCAAGGTGGTCGGGCGGCGCCGCCTCGCGGTACAGTCGGAGAACGCCGTGCTGAGGGCACGGCTTGTGGAGTTGAGCCGCCGGTTGCAGTCTCTTGAGGAGATACTCCAGCCAGCCGTGGGGGACGGCAGCAGGTTTCTCTGTGAGGGGCCTGCGGCTGCTGTCGACGGCGGCAGGTTCATGAACCAGTGGGGCTTCTCCTCCTTTGGCAGACAGGCCGTCGTGGCGGCCACCGACGTATTCCATTACTGATTCTTGAAAGCGGATATCCCAGCTCAGTTGGTCGAAAATTAAATAAAAATAATTGCGTGGACTGAATGGAAATTATCAGGGAGGGTAATTTCGGAAATGTAAAGGTTTAATTTAAATTAAGGCATCTTTTGAGTGGCTGAAAGGACGTCATGCAGAAACTATTTATGTTGAGCTTTTAACTTTGTAGGACAAGAAAGAGAAGATAACTAGTTTTCATTCATATCGTTGATGTGATCCTGGATGATTTTAGATATAGTCCTCGTTATTCATGATCGAAACTTCGGAACTGATTACGCAATGTTTTGTTGATAAGCCCTTTAGAATTTATTTTTTTATCATTTTAACATAAAAAAATAATAATAATGAAGAAAGAAAGAGAAAGATGAGGGAGTCAGAGGAGAAAGACATTGTTAGTTTGACCAGACTTACGTACCCATCCTGCCGCACCCTCTCGGAAAGACCTTTAGACATTTTGCGTTTGGGAAGTTTGACTTTTCATGTCAGATGGGATCGATTCTCTCTCTCTCTCTCTCTCTTTCTCTCTCTCTCTCTCTCTCTCGCTCAGTTTCAATCATGTAGGCATTGAATCCGAGAATTCACTGCGGCAGTTGTGGATGATGTTGGGACAAATGAATGAGCATTTATATGGGTTTTTAATTCGCGTCTCACCTTGGTCAGCGCCAGCTTCACATCAGAATCATCAATCTTTATTCGGCAGTTAGTCTTCGACGACTCCAATCAGGCCCAGCTGGATCAATTTGTTCCCCGTGGGCTTATTGGACCGTCGTATTTCTGACAGTTTAGCATTCATTTCATGAAATGTTGAGAACTATCAGTTATCAACCTGATTAATGAGCTGTCCTAGGCGAGCGGCCGAAGCAGGGTCCACGTTACGTATCACCTCCATCTCTAGCCCGTCCCCTCTCTATCTCTCTCTCTCTCTTTCTCAGCCGACGTTACACAAGGGAGAAGGCTGGCAGGGTTAGAGTTTAAAGCAATCACTGAAACATCTCCCTTGTAGTCTTTTCTTCTGGGTTTTCCAGAACCACTCAGATCCAGGGGTATGTTTTCACCGTTTAATCTTTCCTACGTCGACTTCAAGAGCTTGGTCTACATCACCCATCAGCGGAATGGGCTTCTTCATTACGATGGTTGGATAGTTGTGGAGCATGGAAGAGCCACGCTCACCCACAACGTCTTCCATATTCTACAAAGGATTGAACTGTGAGAAATAATTAAATTATCAGACCATTCAATGAGTACCAAAGGAAAATCAGTGACCACATTCTCCTGTAAATTATTGAAATACTGTGTGCATACTAAACGAAAAATCATCAATTTAGATAAAATATCGAATTATTAGATTATTTGACTTAAAGTTGATTGACAATGAGAAAAAATGCTAGAGTCTTATTTACTTTTTAACGAAATATATTTAAAATAAAATTATATTAATGATTTTAAAACATTGGAAATGTTTGTAGACAACTAATAATCAACTACTTGTTGCAAAAGGGTATTTAACAACTTGGTGTCCTTGACTTGCAGACAAAATCATAAATAGAGCTTCTTAATCTTACACTATAAGTCAGATTTCTGTTTGAAATTCATTTAAAAATCCTTGAATTTCAATCCTACTATAATTGAGACATTAGGTTCTATATGCCATATGAAATCACAAGAACTACTAAGAAGGAGGGCTTAGTTCTCTTGAAGCAAGGACGTATGAGGTAACATGAATACATGATTCTATTAAACTGTGAATCTACTATGTAAGTTAGATTTATTGATTATATTCCTTGAATTCAATTGTGCTGACCTACTTCTCATTGATTTGGTTACATTCTTTGGTTTTAGAAAAATAAAATTTATTCTTCTCCTACGGAATAATTCCTTACCGATCATTGTACCAAATAATAACTTATTCTATGCAGTTGTAAGATTTAGAATTTATCACAATTTATCTCCAAAGATTTGTGATTAAAAAAATCAATAAAAATCTCACTAAGAAGGAATGAATTCTTGCATGACACTCAGAGAGAAATATGCACTTAGAGAAATGACATTCAAAGCAATTGACAACATAATCCAAGAACATGAACTGGGAATGCATACCTCATCATACTTCATATTATAATGGCTCTAGATTCTTCCTTTAGGTTTTCAGGGCTCTTTCTGTGATTGGTGAGAACAAAGTTTTCTACTCGTTTAAGAAACGGAATATTGATGAGGGGATCTCAATTAACACGAGATTATTAAAAGAGGTATTATGGCATACAAATAGGCAGATTCTGTATACAAAGTTATATAAACGATATAAATGAGGTTGAATCTGCAGTACTGTCTAAGATTCAGCCGTTCAATATAATATCGATTCACTAAAAGCAGATTGTCCCATATGTTTTGACCGCATAACCTTACTTTCGAAGTTGGCAACAGTATTCCCTCTTCAAAAAGAGAGCTGAACGCAGAAGAAAATTTCGATTTGGAAAGAGATGGGACACCCGACATATCCAGTATCTGTCCTACGATTGATCATGCCAAGAGAGAAATCTCCTCTCTGCGCCATGTTCGTCCCTGTGCATGGGCTCGAGTGGCCATCTAGTAGTAGGGCATTTGCTGCAGCTCTGGTACAGTGCCTATCCTCGTCGAAGGCCACTTGCACCAGCTCCCGTGGTCGACCATGGCCGGATCCTTGAGCCTTCCACGCCATGTCACAACAGTTCCCTGCATCGGAGGTCGTAAATCAATTCCTCTCCCAACTAGTTCTCCGGCTCAAATGCTTATACGATCTTGCTCCCGATGTGAACAAAAAACCCTTCTCCGGCAGAAGGGGCTAGACCACTTGGTCTATAGAAACCCTAAAGTTTCTTGTTCCGAGTTGATCACGAAGGAAAGCTGAGAGAAGGGTTGTGGTATTATTTAAGCAAAAGACTGGATCTCTCTTTATTCTCCACCATTCTTGTCCATTTCAAATTGGTTTGGTTTCTTGTCCTCGTCGTCAAGGATCGTCGAAGGCACTGGCCAACCACAGAGCTCTTTCTTGCATCTTCCACCATCCTTTATCTTTGTTCTTAAAATATGTGGCAGTGCCAGAGGTAAAGTTCACCCTACTAATGAGCACAGTCATCTTATACTTATTCTCCCTCCATGCGTCTGATTAAATGTTGGTTTTGATCCTACCCATGTATAATTCGGATCTTCGAATCGACCAAACTTTCGTGCAAGTTGGGAATTGAAACATTATTTACGTAAAATTTAGCTTTGGAATGAAAAATCTGGATAGCCACTTGATCAAGGCCCCATGGTCTTAGCCATTACCGCTTCCTCCCCGTCTTGCTCTCTCTATTTGTGTATCCCTCTCCGTGTCAGTTTCTCTCCATGACGATCGTCTAAACAGGTTGTCTACGTGATTGTTTAAACCTTACAAATACAATGAATGAGGCCAACGGTTGATCTGATTCTGCGTGCTTCTTCTTGGCCTTTGCTGGTGTTCTACTGATCAAACAAAGAATCTATAGGTTGAGGATGAGATGCGTGGAATTCTTCGAGAAAGCTTAGTTAACCCGCGTCAATGCGTTGGGCTGGTTTACGTCACTCGCACTCACTGCCATGGAGAAAGTGGCCACCATTCCCTTTCCATTGGGAATTTTAAAACCATAAAACCTTGCCGTAGGATATAAAACTGAGAGGCCAGGTGAGACTTCCATCTATCATAGCTTTGATAGCTGGAATTCCCGGGCTACTTCACTTTGTTACTACGTTCAGCTCTGAAGAGAAGCAAAGCGATCTTCTACTCCTTGTTCTCGGAGAGAAGACCGGAAGAGAATGGATTCTCTGGTTCCCAGGAAGGCTGCTTTTCTGTTCATCGTCATCGTCTATGCGTCGTCGATTTCTGCGTCTTTCGCAGGTCTGTAAAACCCAAACTTTGTCTCCTTTGTCAGAGGTAATCTTGGATTCACTCGCGCGGATGGCTGCAGTATGATTTAATTTTTTTTTGCTTGGTTCTTCGCTTGGGAAGACGGAGCAAACTTACCAATGAGAAACAAGGAATTGCTTGTGTCTTCTTTGAGCAAGATTTTTTTTTATTTGATATTTTACGTAATTATTCATTCCTTCTCGTCATGAATGAAAATATGGCATTCATTGGTCATTGATAAATATCAATGCACAGAGAGAGAGAGGGAGAGACCAAAAATAGAGCCGTCAGACCTGAAAACACAAAGAAAAATGATAGATATGCAATATTAATCATATATATGAGAAGTTATAAATCCAGAGTGGGAGGGAGAAAAGGAGAGAGAATGTGTGAGTGAGAGAGAGAGGGAGAGGAGAAAAATACAACCGGAGATAAGAATGGAATGTGAGCTTTATCTGGAATTCTATTTATGGATATGTGTCAACTGTTACATTTCTTTCAGATATTTCTTGTATCATGGTAAGGCAGCATCGCCAAGTCTTTCCTCTAGCATTTAATATTCATGTTTCTTCTCTTCTCTGTGAACATTAATCAGCGAAAATAACTTTCTCAGGCCTACTTTCTTAATAAAAACCTCCTTGCAGGAATGCCACGGAAGTTTATCAGTCAGCCAGCGAAGAGAATTATAGTATCCACCAAGGTATGTAAAGTAGGGCCATTGAAGTTTTATTCGCCGGAGTTTGCCTTACTTATCTCCTCCAATTTTCGATATGATCCTATTCTTTTTGTTGGCAAGCAAGCAAACTTGGACGTATTCACTTTGTAGTCCAAACTTTGAATTGGATTGATCCAAAATACACGAACATATATTACTGCCAATGACTATTACTTTCTGCCCACTTCATTTGCTGTCAATGTAAACCCAAAAACCAGATTACGTCTGAGCAGTCATGTCACGGAAATCACGTATCGATTGATAAAAATAGCAGTTCTAATCGTGACCATGAGCTCATTCCAATCATTGTAGATCGGCTGAATTGGGCATCCCAAATACCTTACCATTGGTAATATATAAGAGATCTACATGTAAAACGTCCAAAAGACCTATCTATGTAGTCCGTGGCTAAATAAAGTCGTGGCTTTGCAGTCCGCTCTCATTAAAGACTTTAAAGCTGACTTGTTGATTTAACAACCCTATGTTTCAGTGAAATTTATATTTCAGTAACTGCCGAACTATGCATTCCTAATTATTTCAAGCTACATTTTTAAATTTCAGGTAAATATTACTAAGACTTTGTTATCTCACTGTTCATAGGAAATGCCAAGAATGTTCTTCCACAGTGGAGGAGAGGCCAGACTCATTGAAAGGGTTCTCAAGGTCAGAACGAATGATTATGGACGCTATGACCCATCCCCTACATTCGTTAAGCCTCCCTTCAAGCTCATACCAAATTAAAGTCATACTCTACAGAAAACATATAAATAATCGGTGCATGTAGATGCATTGGGGTTCGTAAATCACATCATAGGACATATATCCGTGGTCTCCCCATGAAATGCTGTACAACTAGTGCAGATGAAACTCTACCCTCTCTCTCTTGCTCTCCCCTTCATTATACAATGTATACTTTCGAGTACGTGTAGCATCATCTTGTGACAGAGAATAAAATGTCTTCGAACGTATATTCAGTGAAATATCCTGTGAATAATAACCCCAATCTCTTCGCATTGCCAATCGGTCATTAATTGCGCTATTATGTTGTCTCCTTAAAAGCATACGATTATATTCTCTTCTGTTGGGCCACAAAATTAGGGTTACATGAACCAACAACGTCAAAAGCTCGACCAAATTTATTTTTGACGTTGGCTACAAAATCACTAATGGAAAGAGAATTAATCACGGTTCAACTCAATTTCTTCATGAATGAAGTTCGATCTTCAACTGGATACAACTTGTTTTTCGGGTAGATGACTATGCTATGATCACTGGCATCTCTCTCTCTCCCTCCCTCTCCCCCCATGTATATACATGTATATAGATATGTTATACACAGTGTTGGGCTGAGGCTGGACATTGTCAAGACCTTGCAGGAACCAACCTTCGAGAATGAGCTCTATAAAGAATACCCAACAAGTCCTTTAATAAGGGTAAAAGAAATATTTCATGGCAAAAGTGTAAACGGAAATATTGTGATTATAGATATAAGACTCCTCTTATTGATAATTTCTTACGAGTTATATGCCTCAATTCTTTGCTATCAAATTTATGCATGTATTCTTTAGTTTTAATATATTCATATCAGAAATACATGTGAAGAATCAAGGAATATTCTCCCATTAAGGTAATAATTCCAATATTATGATTAAAACTTGTTTTACGTTGGGTGCCGAGGGTCACTAAGAAAGATTTGATCATTAGATTTTTTGGAGTAATGACAAGTAGAATGTTCACATATTAGCCTTGAAATATCTGAGCTTATTACTGGAAATATTTTATTACTTAAAGCTAGAAAACATCCACGACCACTCACTGCGTCTTCGCTTCAAAGATCGATGAGCATTAAATGGCAAGGAGAGACGGAGAAGAGTTCGTCCGTTTCTTGCGTGCGTAGTGATGCACATGCGAGAAAAGATAGGAAATAGAAAAGCCAAAGCAGAAAAGCAACTCCTTCCTTTTCCGCCGTCCTGTTTCCTTTCTCCCTATCCCCAGCCCCCTCTATTCTGCCCTCCCACTCCCGCTCCCTCTCTCTCTCTCTCTCTCTCTCTCTCTCTCTCTCTCTCTCTCTCTCTCTCTCTCTCTCTCTCTCTCTCTCTCTCTCTCCTTCTCTCTCTCTCTCTCTCTCTCTATCTGTCTCTCTTTCTGTCTCCCTCTCTCCTTCTCTCTCTTTATCTCTTGCTCTCCTCTCTCTCTCTCTCTCTCTCTCTCTCTCTCTCTCCTTCTCTCTCTCTCTCTCTCTCTCTCTATCTGTCTCTCTTTCTGTCTCCTCTCTCCTTCTCTCTCTTTATCTCGCTCTCCTTCTCTCTCTCTCCTTCTCTCTCTCTCTCTCTCTCTCTCTATCTGTCTCTCTTTCTGTCTCCCTCTCTCCTTCTCTCTCTTTATCTCTCGCTCTCCTTCTCTCTCTCTCCTTCTCTTTCTTTCTCTCTCGCTCTGCCTCTTTCTCTCTCTTTCTCTCTCCTTCTCTCTTTCTCTCTCTTCTCTCTCTCTCTCTCCTTCTCTCTCTCTCTTTCTCTCCTCTCCCTCTCTCGCTCTCCCGCTTTCTCTCTCGCTCTCTCTCCCTCTCTCTCTCTCTCCCCCTCTCTCTCTCTCATTATCTCTCTCGCTCTCTCTCCCTCTCTCTCTCTCATTATCTCTCTCTCTTTCTCTCTCTCTCTCTCTCTCCCTCTTCCCTCTCCCTCTCTCTCTCTCTCCCCCTCTCTCTCTCTCATTATCTCTCTCGCTCTCTCTCCCTCTTCCCTCTCCCTCTCTCTCTCTCCCCCCTGTCTCTCTCATTATCTCTCTCGCTCTCTCTCCCTCTCTCTCTCTCTCTTTCTCTCTCTCTCTCTCTCCCTCTTCCCTCTCCCTCTCTCTCCCTCTCCCTCCCTTCCTCTACCTATTCCTCCTCCCCACCTTTCCTCTCTCCATTCCACCTCTCCCCCCTCTCCCCTTCTCTCTCTCTCCCTCTACGTCTTCCTCCCCCCTCACCTTTCCTCTCTCCATTCCACCTCTCCCCTCTCTCTCTCTCTCTCTACCTCTCCCTCCTCCCCGCACCTTTCCTCTCTCCATTCTACCTCTCCCCCCTCTCTCTCTCTCCCTCTTCCTCTTCCTCCCTCCCTACCTTTCCTCTCCATTCCACCTCTCCCCCTCTCTCTCTCCCTCTCGCTCTGGGAAAGAAGGCAAGGGTCTCTCCTTCTCTGTAACTCTGTAACTTATTCCGTAATATTAAATTCTTTTCTATCTAAAAAGATAATATCTGATGTACTTTGAGTTAATATATCAAACCACAGCTAAAACTTCTATAAAATCATTCATCTAACCTTAAAATGCCATCATCAATGTATAATATCATCCACAGTTTCCATGTCCGTGGAAGTCTTGAACTCAAATATCAATTCAAAACATGATCAAATATAAATAATATCATCTATAAATGCACAATATCAAAATATTCTTTTATTTAGTCTTCACATTAAGTGATGATTCACTTGTGCTTCAACGAAAATTATTTTCATCAAAATAGGATTCAAGACAAGTCATACCACGCTCTTAGTATTTGTTTAAGCCTGAAGAATGTTTTCTTCAACTTGTAAACTGTCCCTCTTGGTATCAATCAAAAATACCTAACATTGCTCAATATACACATTTTCATTCAAATATCCATCAAAATGCATAACTAACATCAAACTTAAATACCAACTATGAGAACTACTAGAAAAATAATTATAAAAATTTCAAATTTAAAATTAATATGAAAAATTTAAAATATTTTATACCACATTATTGTACATATCATTCTACCACTAATCTTCCCTTGTATGTTTGTACATTTCCACTTAGATTGTACCACATTATTACACACTAACCACAGCTTCTAACCCCGTCCATGACAATATCACCTCCAGCTACTTGTAAGCCACTTGTTTGACCCATGTGGCAGACTCCTAACAACCTAGCAGAGACAAGAGGGTGTGGAGGAGACCAAGGAGCATGGTAGGAAAATGCACCCTTACTACTAGATTCATGAAAGTGTGAGTAGGTACATCTAGAGTTCCGCCAAGCAAGAAGTGTATGACAAGAGGAAGGTTTTTAGTGGAGGAAGTAAGAAGAAAGGAATATTTTAATGGAGATTAAGGATCTAATGTTGAATCATGAAGAATGAAAATAATAAAGTGAGAATGATCAAGAGAAGCATACCTAAGTTCATTATGACTCAAGAGTGGGGTGTGACCTTTTTAATAAATACAAAGGAGCTGTTTATACCAAATGACTTCCTTCATGAGAGATGGGATCCTCCAAGAGTAACTCTCATATTGTGTCACCCAAAGACTATGACCCCCTTAAAAAAAACAAGAGGTGGTTTGCCCCTGGTATTCTTTTTTAATTTTTCTCATCATAGAATTAGAATAAGACGATCTCTACAAATAAATAGATTTATGCTCATACTTACATGAAATGACTTCATCTCAAAAATTTAATATTTAGTGAATCAATATATTTTTAATTAACCTTAATGATAGCCTCATAATATATAATTAATATTTATTGATATATTCCCACATATATATTAAATCCAACATATTTTCATATCTATAATGAGTAAAGAAATAAAAGGATAGTAGGAGAGGGGGAAATGGGGATAAACCAAGTCAAGAGGGGAGAGAAAGAGAGAGGATGATATCAAAAGAGAAGGAAAACATGAAGCCATCAAGATGAGGTAGGGTAGGGGATCTTATAAATGGAAGAAAGGGAGAGGTATGACATAAAAATTGTAGAATGAGTGAGTGAATGAGATAGATATCTATATATATATATATATAGAGAGAGAGAGAGAGAGACGCAGGTTGACAATTCACGTATGAAAAAGACTGACCACTTGGACCCGATTACATTGGGGCTGCACATAAGACTGGACCCCTACAAAAATATAGCGGACGAGCCTCAAAAGGGTTCTACGAAGATGTTAGAATGATCTGAAGATGCTTTTATTATTTTGCAAATTAAGATGTTAAATTATAATAATATTTTCCCATCCCTCTCGGATGGCATAGTGCCCCGCTGTGCACTGCACCTGATGTGGCTACTTACACCCCAAGTCAACACTCCCTATTATTTTTTGTGTGACATCATCGCTGACTTCAGATACATAAATGGGTCAATAGTTGGACAACCCGTTCTGCACTCAAAAGGTACCCTTACCAAGTGCACTTTGGTGTCCCCTCCTCTGCTTTGGTACACGTTGACTCACTAATTTTACCTTTTAAATAACAACATTCAGACTTACACCATAAAACGTAAGCTTCTAAAACTCACATTTTCCTCATGCTATTTATGGCTCTATAGGAGCTCCATACGGGTTAGTAACTAAGACTTACTTTAACGTACACATTTTTATTTTACTTCTTTTATTTGGTCAATATATAAGGTGTCACATGGCGGCCTAACTATTTTGAGTTTCGTTAAGGTTTCAAGACCAGCTCGCGCAATCCAAGGTGTTGGTGAAGCTGGGATTAAAGCAAAGTTCGTACGTGGTAATTCATTGATTGTAATGTCTTATTAATTCAAGTTTACGGCTGACCCATTTTGCTTACTGATAACTCGTGAAGAAAGGCCGTAGTGTTGATAAACTTGCCGCAAAAAAAGCTCCTTTTTTGCTTATTTTGTTCAATTCTTGCCGTCAAAATAATTATATATGATTTTCCATTTTGGGCTTATTTTCCAAGGAGATCAGGTTCGTGCCAGTCCGCGATGCCACCCACAGC